TCCCCGCCGCTGCCGGGCCCGGTCCGGCCCGGCGCTACTGGACTGGCTTGGGGCGGAGGAGATCTTCCCCGACCTCGGTTCCCTCCTCCCCTGGTGGCGCGTGGGTCGTCGAGCTTAAGCTGGGGAAATCGAAGATTTTTATGAGGAAGGGGGGAGCTTGGGGAGGCAGGCGAGCGGCAGCTTCGGCGCCGGAGTAGGAGGCAGCTGCGGCGAGGGAGCGGGGGAGCAGGGGAGCCGCGACGGGGGGGAGCAGCGCAGCTGAGGCGCGGGAGCGGGGAAGCAACGGCGGCGGGGAGGAGCGCAGCTGGGGATTCTGTCGGAGGAGGACGACGAGGAGTGCGGGTTCGGTCGGGAGAAATTGAAGGGTGTTTTTGTAAAATTGCCTTCGCGACATGTTTTTTGGGACGGAGGGAGTACATGTGTAGATTTTTTTGGAGACGGGATCCACCAATTTTCTCTTGTCTCGCACACGAGTATTTTAAGCGCTTCGTCTGCGTTGTGTGTTTTCCCCACCCAAGTTTCTAGTTTCACAGCGAAAAATTTCATTAGGCGCGTGATTTCAGAATTTATTCCTCCCATCACATTTTCGTAGTATCTCCCAACCCAGCCCCCCCCTCACGACAGCTCAAACCACTGCCGCCGCAACCACAGCTTCAACCAACATCTATGTTCTGCCTGAGCCTCATCGATCCAGTCAGGTAACCCACTGATCTCTATCATAGCCCCAGCCTGATTCCTTAAATGGCGCATGCAAAACATCCTCATCATGCCTCTAAATCCCCACAGCCCCTACTCTAGAGCATCGCCACATAAGCCCAATGATACAACCATTTTGCATCATGTTTTCATGTTGATATTTATTGCATTATGGACTGTTATTTCACTTTATAATACAATTCTTATGCCTTTTCTCTCTTATTTTGCAAGTTTCGTATGAAGAGGAAGATTGTCGGCAGCTGGAATTCTGGACCCTAAAGGGCTATATCGGAGGCACCTTTTCTAAACAACTCCAAATGAGCTGAAAATTGACGGAGAATTATTTTGGAATATATTAAAATTATTGGCGAAAGAAATACCAAAGGGGGACCCACCAGGCAGCCACAAACCTGGGAGCGCACTCTACCCCCTACCCCCCCTCCCCCCGAGCTTATGGCGCCCGTGGCAGGCCTCCAGGGCCTGTCCTCTCCTATATAGTGCCATTTGACATAGAAAAAAGTTAGAAAAAGGTTTCGAGATGAAGTGTCGTCGTCTCGAGGCGGAACCCGGGCAGGAGCACTTTTACCCTCCAACGGGGCGATTCTGTCGCAGAAACTTCCCACCGAGAGGGGGAAAGTGAAGCCATCATCATCACCAACGATCCTCTCATCACGAGAGGACCAATCTTCATCAACATCTTCACCAACACCATCTCATCTCAAACCCTAGTTCATCTCTTGTATTCAATCTTTGTCTCAAAATCTCATATTGGTACATGTGGGTTGCTACTAGTGTTAATTACATCGTGTAGTTGATGCTAGTCAGTTTATTTGGTGGAAGATTATATGTTCAGTTCCTTAATGATATTCAATACCCCTCTGATCTTGAACATGAATATGATTTGTGAGTAGTTACTTTTGTTCTTGCAGACATGGGAGTATTCTTGTCATAAGTAATCATGTGAATTTGGTATTCGTTCGATATTTTAATGATATGTATGTTGTTGCTTCCTTTAGTGGTATCAGGTGAACGTCGGCTACATGACACTTCACCATCTTTGGGCCTAAGGGAAGGCATTGTGGAGTAGTTATTAAATGATGGGTTGCTAGAGTGACAGAAGCTTAAACCCTAGTTTATGCGCTATTCGGAAAGGGGCTGATTTGGATCCATATGTTTCCTGCTATGGTTAGATTTATCTTAATTCTTCTTTCGTAATTGTGGATGCTTGTGAGAGGGGTTAATCATAAGTGGGAGGCTTGATCAACTAAGAATGGCACCCAAGCACCGGTCCACCCACATATCAAATTCTCAAGTAATGAACGTGAATCAAACAAACATGATGAACGTGACTAGATGAAATTCCCGTGTGTCCTCAAGACCATTTTTCTTATTATAAGAGACTGTTCCGACCTGTCCTTCGCTACAAAAAGGATTGGGCCACCTTGATGCACCTTTGTTATAATTGCTACTTGTTGCTCGTTACATATTACTTTGCTATCAAACTATCTGTTACCAATAATTTCAGTGCTTGCAGACAATACCTTGCTGAAAACCACTTGTCATTTCCTTCGGCTTCTCGCTGGGTTCACCACTCTTACTTATCGAAAGGACTACGATTGATCCCCTATACTTGTGGGTCATCAAGACTCTTTTATGGCGTCGTTGCCCACACCAACGCCTATAGAAACGTTAGTAGTATAAAGCTTAGCATCTTTTTTGCTCATTCTACCATCTATTTAAAGTTAGGTTAATTATGATGAGATAGCTAGCCACTTTTGTGCAGGATATCATAGGATAAGAAAATCAAACAAAATTATGTGCCTTAGAGTATACAAAATTAGTACCATTTAGATTGTGAGAATTAGGCTTGATTTTGATTGATAATTCATCTATATTCTGTTGCTCATGTGTGCTATTGTTCACGACTAAGGGTGAGAGGATGCAACATATAGTACTCAAAATATTATGTATAAAGAAATCGTCCTTGCAATGTAATGCCAAAGATTCTATCCTTTTACTAGAGTATTTCCATTCAACTTTTGTTGATTTGTTAACTAAAATTTGTATGCATCACAGATTACATTGTTGGTTTTCTGGCTGGGCTGCCAACACCGAGGCTAAAAGAGTGTACCTTTGTATAAATGTTAGTTCTTTCTATTTTCCAATTCAGCTTTTTTACTGGTTTTCCATCCTCTGTTACCAATTTCCATCTATTATTGTTGGATGGGGTATTATCTGTAAAAATATGATCTTTGAAATGTATACAAGAGCAATTCTCCTTTGGTGTTATCTGTAAAATTATGATCTTTGAAATGTATAAAAGAGCAATTTTCCTTTAGTTCAAAGAAAGCTTTATTTTGTACAAGTTTTGGTTGCACGAGACAGTTTTCAAACTTTGACTATCTTGGTAGGAACAACTTTGCCTGGAATATTTAAAATATGTACCTAAGTGTTTGCTTTTGAATAAAGGTGGGTTTTATTTACTTAAAATGAAGCATCAAGTGGATACAAACCCAATAAGCACATACCCAGCCTCTGCGTAGGTAGGATGCACACACACACACACAAAATACCGGCAAATAACAAAGTAATATAACACCAAAGTTATGCCTAAGCGAGAGAGAAAAAGGAACTGATCAAATCCGCAGTCGGCAAACAACAGGAATGACCACATTCACACCAATCATCTTTTTGAGTTAAATCGAAACTTTATTTATTAGAAATAATCAGTACATCGTTTGTGATGATCATTACAATTTCATTGATAGGCTCCTCAACCCAATCCGAAGTCAAAGAAAATCTAGCTAATCTAGCAAGTTCATGAGCAACTTTGTTTCCCTCTCTATTACCGTGTTCGAGTCTAGTCACCACAAAATCACATGCATAGTGAAAACAATCATCAAAAATTGCCGCCGCCGCACCCGCTGATTGTCCTCCGTCTTGCATGGTCTCAATCACCTCCGAAGGCAAGAATGTAGGTTTTCACCCTGAAGGACTGGTATGAGCATATCCGAGTAATGCCTTCAACAAGGTAACAATGTAAAAAAGATAGCCATTGCTAGGTATAACCAACTCGGGCCAAGCCTGGATTTTCACCACAGAGCTCGATACCGAGTACTCTAGAAGCACCACTATCGAAGTCAACTGTGTGTTGTTGCCACCACTTTTCCGTGATCCTAAGAGTTGCATGCGTTGGGCTAGAACATTGATCGCCAGTCTGCACAATCATGTCTCAAGTCGTCGTCCACGGAATGCATTTCACTGCCGAGGCAACCACCGGATATGGAAAGAGAACCCCTGCAAAGACCTTTTGGTGGGACCACAATTCGCGGCACGGCCGCTGCCGCAGTGGTCACCACACCGACCAACATCGAGATGGAGCACATCACCACGTCTACCATCTCACCGGATATAGCCCTGCCCAGACCCGTCGGCCATGGAGCCGACATAACCGGATCGTGAGCAAGGTAGATCAGTCAGTGGAGCTGTCGCCCGCCTAGCCGCCACATCCATGTCGGATCCATCCGGGGCCTCCCCATGGCGGCGACGAGTGCGAGAAGCTGTCAAAAGGTCAGCACTCGCCGACCGAAAAGGAGATGGCGACTCCGGGACCTTGGATTCGAGGCACCAAGGTGAGGCAGTGCATGTTCTCACCACCATTGTGCGTCGCGGGGCTTTGCTAGACGACCTTCGATGATGACGGCGAAGGAGGGAGTAGCGGAGGCGACTCCAGAGTGGCTAAGTGTTTGTAACCATGGGTGAACTGATTTTTAGTAGCTTTCGATATTTATCTGAGTTAAATTGGTTGCTTACCCATTGTCTTCTTTTCTTATATAAAAAATAAAGCAGCCACGCACACCGGCGCTCTGCATGCTAGTGACATACTCTCTCTATTTCTAAATGTAGTGCACCCGCATTTTTTGAAATCTAAGTTTGAAAATACGAATTAAGTGCTATAATTTTTGCTACCGCCACAGTTGGTCTTGTTGACTAAATTTATGATCAAATTTAGATCTTGAAAACATGGACGCACTACATTTAGAATGAAGGAGTATTATGACCTGCAGGGGAGTAGAGCACTTGTTTAAGTTTCCAAGGATACACGCATAGTATCTTTCATGTTTCTCAAAGATTTTCGATTTTTTATGGGTAACAGTACGATACATTCAAAACTCACGGTTAACGAGAACCACTCACAACAATCAATCTCACGCCAGCCTGCTCTCCCCACCAACCAAATTTTAGGGGGAAAAAGTCCCAAAAAATCAAGTCTAGTGCTTTACAGTCGGATTATTTTAGATTCTTCAGACGATGGCATCAAAGTCCACGGCGAGTATTCTGGCGAGCGCCTCGAGCCCCACGCCGCTGTCGCCGTCACCAGCCATACTTATCATGGCGCGGATCTCGTCGTCGGCGACCGGCATCCCGGCCCACCCGAGGTAGGCCTTGAGGTCCTCGAACCCGACCTTGCCGTCCCCGTCGCGGTCCATTAGCCGGAAGGCGTCCTCCATCGCCGAGCGGCAGCCGCTGTCCGCCCCCGCCTTAGCTGCGCGGCCAAGGAGGCCCTCGAACTCGTGGTACTGCACGAAGCCGTCGAGGTCGGCGTCGGCGGCGGTGATCATGGCCTCGATGTCGTCGTCGTCGAAGCGCTCGTCGGTGGCGCCCGCGTTGGCGTAGAAGGTCTTGAGGTCGTCGCGGCTGATGCGGCCGTCGTGGTCCGCGTCCAGCACGTCGAACGCCGGCCGCAGGTCCCCCGCGCCGGCGCCGGCGGGGAGGTCAAGGCCCGCGTACCTGCCGCCGGGACACATGCTTACTTCGGCGCTGCGGGGAGGGAAATGTGGAGCCTCGCGACAGCCGCAGAGCTAGATTGGAAGCGCGATCTCTGTTTGTTTGTTTTTTCGGGAGGCAGAGAGGGCTGGGAGGCTATTTGGGTTTGGCGAGGAGAGGAGGCCCGTATTTATAGGCGGCGGAATAGAATTCTCCAGCTGGCCAGGAGGGCTATTCGTGGACCTCGTCTACGGCCTGCTGTATATCTGTATCTCACGTTTTGATCTTGCAGATTCCCACCGGGACACGGGTGTTTCGTGGAGGTGGTGCACTGGGTTTTCTCGCGATTTCTGTGTCAACGCGGGTGATATGAGTATTTAATTGGTTTGATTTACGATTTGAGGTGAGAGAAAGCTTGGAGGGCAAGGAGCCGAGCGTGGGGCCACAGGTTTTCGGCGCTTGGTTGGACCGGTCCAATCGGGAAGACGTGTAGGCTGACATCACCGGTCGGTCGCCGGTACGAGCTCTGGCCGTCGCTTTCGGTGTGAGATCCTTCGTGGCGTCAGAATTTTTTGTGGCTGAGTTTGTAGTATCTTTCGCAAGGAAAGCTGCTTGTGCAACACCACGCGCGTGACTGTTCGATCCACCTTACGTTCCTGAGCGCGTGTGGAAGGAAGGAAGGAAGGAAGGCTGTGTAGCTAACACCACGCGCATGTCGTTTTTGAAGAGCGTCTTCGGTCTTAAAAAAAAAGAGTTAAAAGCATTGGGGGTCCTAGAACTTGCTCACAATATGATGGTTTGGTCCTACAACTTGCAAAATGACCTTACCCAGTCCCACAACTTGCACCCAACGTGCAACTTTGGTCCTAGACCAATCACAGAGAGACAAGTGGACTCGTCGGGCCCGAGCCGGTCAGCGCGCGTTTTTGCAAAGAGCCCCCTGCCTTTCATTAGAATCAACCCGCTGTGCTGAGTGAACTGAAAACACAGCTGAGATTTTATTCAGTTGCTCGATCGATTGCGGTGTTGCCGCTGCAGGTGACGTGGTGATCAATGCGTGGTTCAGCATCCGGAGGTCCCCATAACCGCCGTAATCATCCGCAACTCAATTTACTCCCAGAAATAATCGCTTGCTGTTGAGTGATTTACGTGTACTGTAGCCATTCTCCCATTCGCAATCTCTCTTCAGTGTGTCATATTTGTTGCTAAAGAGTTGGTTAGTGTTATTTGCTGATGCTTCAGAGTATGCATGTGTCAGAAATCAAGCTTGCTTCACACATTGATCCTGGCAGTGCTCCCCCTTCAGGAAATAATCAGTAAACTGGAACTGCCAGAGTGCTATTTGCAGGTCAACCTATATTACAAAGTAAATATTGTTCAAGACTAATGAGGTTTAGTATTTTCTCACTGTTACTTTATAGAATGATATGACATCATTTTTCTCATCAGTGTTTGAAATACTTTAAATACAAAAGAAGTTTTTTCTCATCAGCGTCAGAAATCTCTGTTTGAATATTTTAAATACGAAGCAAGTTTCATAGCACTTTGCAATATAATGAACCTCTTGCACCAAGTGTATGGAATCCTCATGGCTATTCAAGCACATCGGTGCGTGTTCTAATGTTATAAAAGCAGATTAACTAGAGCCTGGATATACTGAGCAGAGTGGATTTCTGTTATATTATTCTAGTACTTCTGTATCCATGTATCACCTAATTGGATGAAGAACAGATAAACTTTTCCCTGTCGCTAAACATTTGTGGATTAAGCCAAGGAAGTACGGCGGTGAAATATGCATCTAATCATTTCTGGTTTCAAGACAGTACTTACTGAGAATTTGATTTCCATTCTGTCTCCACAGGTGCTCTAGCCCTAGCAAGTGTTCTGCTCAACCCCCAGACTTTAGGTGGATGTACTGTTTTCAGTGGTTCGGTTCCTCTAAGCAAATCATTTGCTGACAGGGTGACGCCTGAAGCCAGAAAGGTAACAACGACCCACCAAATCATGGTTAAGCCAATTATATTTCGTAGTTGAATCCTCTTGCAAATGTCTTGTCTCTGGATTCTTGCAAACCTGCAGACGCCGGTTTTATGGTTCCATGGGATGGCAGATGGGGTGGTACTATTCGAAGTCGGGCATGCTGGCTACGCGTTTCTCCAAGAGCTTGGCATGGCCTGTGAATCCAAGAGCTGGGCACGCTGGCTGCGCGTTTCTGCAAGACCATCATGATCGTCGTCGGCGAACCACGAAGATCTACACTAGCTAGAGTACTTCACAAACTTATGGGCACCGTTGCTAGGTGGCGCATTGCTAGTACATATGTGACCTGAATCTCAGTTTATCTTGCCACACGAGTGCTTTGGAACATGATCCTGTGAATTTTTTTTATGATATCCAACGAAAGGATTATGATACTGTTACAGTTAACCAGTTCTCTGCCATCTAAATTCCTGTGCCTGATGACTTGCTCTGTTATTTGTTGATGCTTCGATTAACTGTCACATGAATCTGACATGGGCAGTGGCTCATCAATGATGTTCTCTGCCGTCTAAATTCGTGTGCTTGATGACTTGCTCTGTTGGTAGTGCTATCTGAATGCTCCTCCGGCTCCCAGCCCCCGGCATCATTCGACGAGGAGGAGGCGCCCGCCACCGGCGGCAGGCCGAGCTCGTCGTCCGAGGCCTCAGCAGGAAGCCGAGCTCAGGCTGTGGCGCATATCTCCTCCAGTCACCGCATGACGGAGGCCACCGATCTGTGATCCAACAACGTTCAAGAGTGAAAACTCCATACGTTCATGGCTCCATGAGACATGCGGGTAAAATTGAGCAGTGAGAAGCGTGGGGCTAGCCAGGCCGACTGTTGCGCAACGCTGCCATTCCATTCCAGCCTAGCTTTGGTTTTCTTGCCTGCCTGCCTGACTGCACAGCACAGCGGGTTGATTCTAATGAAAGGCAGGGGGCTCTTTGCAAAAACGCGCTCTGACTGGCTCAGGCCCGACGAGTCCACTTGTCGCTTTGTGATTGGTCCAGAACCAAAGTTGCACATTAGGTGCAAGTTGTGGGACTGGGTAGGGTCATTTTACAAGTTGTAGGATCAAACCATCACATTATGAGCAAGTTCTAGGATCCCGGTGCTTTTAACTTAAAAAATAACTTAAAAAAAGCATGCCGGTTTCCTAAAATCACTTGAGTACGACTGGTAAGTTGTAACCACCAGTCAAATATGGATGACAAATACGTATAGGGTGACAAACGCGGTTACGAACCCATCGGCGTCGAGCTGTTTCTCACTTACCTATGCAAAATCGGATACGGAATGCTCCCGCAACGTTCTTTCTAGCAGTGCCCATGTGCCGCGAATACCGACAAAAGCTTCCGATTCCAATTTGCGTGGAGGCGGAACCGTATTCTCGTGCCGACGGTAAAAACCAGCTTGCAACCATGGCGAATCCGCAAACAGCCAAACGATGCTGACGCCGACTCCACCGCACAACTCAAACGGATGTTCGGATTGACCGGATTTTGTCTTTTTGGGGCGCCGATAAATTCATCCGTGTCCGGCTTTGCGTCGATGGGTTCAAATCGTGTCCGGGATGGACATGAATAAAAAATATATAAAAATAACTAAAAAAATAAACACATTTTAAAAAAACATAAAACATATATAGGGGTCGGCCACAAAACGGCCCAGTTTCCACGGTCACTTAAAAGGCCCAGTTTTATAATTAACATATAAAACAAAATATAAAAGCGCCTCCCGCGCGCTCCTGCCGCGCCCGTCGGTGCCGTGCCCGTCGCCGTCTTCACCGACCGCCGGTATCGTCGTCGTCGCTGACGAGGTCGACGTAGGCCGGCGGCGTCCAGAGGTGGGCCGGAGGTGCGTGGTGGACGGGGGCGGTGCTCGATCTCCTCGTCGCGCGCACGGCCGCTCGTGGGAACCGGCGGGATCGGGACCCGGTCGACGGAGAGATGCCAGTTATTGGGGAGATGGACGTCGCTCCAGGGGAGCGGCGTCCTCGTCTCCCAATAACGGCGGCACACCGACGCCCGGATGTAATGCCGGTCGCGCTCGCCGGCGGACGTGGGCGCGATGGAGAAGGCGGGCGGCGCGGGGGCCCGGCGTGGTGGCGATGGCGAGGCGGGCTTCTATTTCTTCACCGAGCCGTAGCGGCGTCCCGACGAGGAACTAGCCTCGCGGTCGTGCTTGCCTTTGTGGCCGTAGTTTCAGAGGCCCATGGCTGCGGGCGGCCGGGCAGCGAGGTCTTGGCTAGGGTTTGGGAGCAGCCGCTGTCAGATTTCGAGGAGGCCGCGGGGTGGCGTGGGGCAGTGTGGACGACGACCCGTCCACGCTTCCCACTTAAAGAAGGACGGCGACCGTTCGACGTGCGAATGATAGATGAGACCGCCTGCTCGTGCGCATTGATGTGGGCGGGTGGGAGGTAGTTGGCCGCCTGCTACGAGGCCCCGACGCGGATGAGCGCGCGTCCGTTTGTTGTCCGTCGCGACTCAAACCCGGCGCAAGTTTGCGCTCGAAATGGGTTGGCCCGGACACAAAACGGATAAGATGGGTCCGGACTGTCACGCGCTGGGCTGCCTTTTTTATTCGTTTTACCCCAAATAAACGGGACTGGATAAGATAGGGTCGCGCGGTGGAGTTGGCCTGACAAATGGAAAAGGGCATCCACAGCCACGGGCATGTGCTCTCTGCTGTCCGCCCGTGAATCCACACGATCCACGACAAAAAACGATCGCCTGCTGCCATCAAGTCAGTCGAGCGTGCATGTGACTGGACGACAACCGCGCGACGTGGCAGCAGGAATTACTCTCCACTTTTGTGGCCATGCATTCGCCCTTTGCCCTGTGACCAGAGGACCCGTGGGATGGAGCCATAGTACAGCTCCAACCTTCGTACGTCGGATATGTCACATCTCTCCCTAGCCGGACGGCCTACCACACGATTGAGGAGAACGAATAACGCAAAATAATTGAATCCAACACTGCTGCGGCCTACCTTAGGCAGGGTGACCCACTATCGCCAATTC